TTATTCTAGAAAAATTAGGTACTCACTTCTCATATGTTCTGATAATACATTTCATAGCTGACTATTTGGCATACAAACCAAAAAAAAAATTCAGAAAATTCTGCCGGAAAAACCTATCTATCTATCTATCTATCTATCTATCTATCTATCTATCTATCTACCTACCTACCTCTCTCTCTCTCTCTCTCTATTTTTTTTTTTTTTGTTTAAATTCTTCATGACCATACTGTGGTCAATCCTAATCTTTTGCAAGCCTGCAACCTCTGAAGTTTATATGACAGTTCACTTCAATCTAATTTCCCTGGAATTCAGCATAATTTGCATACTTATTACTTACCACAATTTACAAATCTGGTCAATTTATAACTACTCCTAAATTGTAATGTCCTTAAGAATAGACACCAGTCCTAATCAGTTTTCTCCTAACCCACAACAAATAATATTTTGCTCACAGATAGTACTCTATACAGGTGATACCAAAAAATGCATGAATTTATGTTGAATCTGAATTATAGGTACCAATCTTGAAATTTGATTTTCTGTACATATGAAGATAATATTACTTTATGTGAAATTTTAAAAAGTTGCAGCATAAAATAGCTCTATAGAGAAGATAACCTTAAAAATTAATTATCTAACAACTTAATCACAACTCATAATGATACAATTGTATGTAAACTTTTTTCAATATAGCATTTAGTAAGGGAACCCATTGTTTTTTTTACTTATTTCACAATAAATGGGACCAATTCATTGCCATTTTGATAACTAATAGGACCAAGAAAAGAATTGTCTCCAGTATCACCTTTTGATTTTATAATCATATAAAATATAAGGATTTAGTGAAGTTATGTTTAGTTATCTTTATTTATTTATTTATTAACTTTCTTTTTCCTTTTGTTAATTTTGTTTTTCTTTTTTGAGACTCACTATGGGGTCTCACTATGTTGCTCAGACTGGTCTTGAACTCCTGGCCTCAAGTGATCCTCCCACATCAGCCTCTTGAGTAGCTGGGACTATGTTGCAAGCCACCTTGTCTGGCTAGTTATCTTTAATTAACGACATTTGTTAAAGTAACACAAAAATCCTAGAAACATTTGCCTGTTGAAACTTTCTGATAATGTGAATGAAGTAAAGTTTGGAGTCTCTGTCTTATTGAAAATACTCAAGGTTAATATAATAAAAACAGCAAAGCAGTAATGCATAAAAGAATTATTAGAAGTGTAATAAAATTATTTGGACCTCCAACTATAGCAACACTGATTAATGACTGCTTTTTAATGAATTGGAAGTTGTTCAATCATCGTGCCATTTCATTTCACCTGAGAGTTTTTAGAAAAGGGTCAGAGCCAAAACATATGCTAGTTCAATCTGCAATAAGGTATACTTAAGCAATTTCATTTTTCTTGGCAGGGCAAGTGTGGGCTATTCATTTCTCATTTATTCACGATGATGATATTCCTGCTCAACTGGCTAGTGTGATCAATGAAGACAGTCTTAGGCATTAGAATATGAATAAAGTTTACTTTTAAGCTGTGCATTCAAACTAAATTACCTACTCTTCTTATAGAATCTTTACCACATGATATGTGTTTAGCCTCTTTATTTTTCATACAGATATATAGTCTTTGTCACACCAGATTTCCTTTACGGTTCTAAAATCTTTACATTGGTCATTGAGTAGATACTAGAATAAACCAGAAGTCAATTTTAAGAATGTTAGTTTGGCATCACTCTTAGATTGTGCACATATTTTCTTTATTTGTCTAAGTCCCAGCTCTGCCTATGACCCAGTGAGGGGCAACATAACTTATTAGCATCCATACCCTGTGGATTCCTAATTTTCATTTAGGCAACAACTGTAGCCAGCAGGTGGCAGTGTGACAGAGCCCGCATATGCACCAATCATATTGATAACTAACAAATTAGGATTCTAAGATCTAAACTTTCAGGGACCAATGACACTTGCTTCCACTATAAACGTTCATACTTCCTTCCATTTTCTAAATGGTTGAAGCTCAAGGCTCTGAAAGGAGGCACTAGACCTTATTGTTATGAGTGTCTTCAATACTATGATAATTGCTTTCATAGCCCAGGGAGTCCCTGGAAAGAAAGAGACCTGCCACAGCTACAGTAGAAGCAATCAATAAACTATCTGAGACATCCATCTGGAGTTAAGGCACATGGGCCTACTATCTCTACATCAAGGAAATATGCACCTGTTTGTGTATTAATAGGAACGTTTAGGTAGGATTAGATAGTTTTCTACTTAATAATATTTTATTATGGATGGTATGTTTATGATAAGTAGAAGTTATTGAAGTGACTGGTCAGTTGTCACTTATTGTATCCCCGCCATTAGAGTGAAAGTAACATGGTTCACAGAGGTCTTCTATTCTGTAACTTAGACAATTCATTTTCACCATATTTCTCAAAGATCTTAGAAAACAAGAGGATTTTAAAAATTCTGATACATTTTAGCTGTCCCCAAATTCTGCATAAATGAAATAAATGAAAGCATGAAATGAATGAGGAAAACATATGTGACTATAATAGGATGTGGTATGGGAGGGGAGAAAGACGCCAGGTGTGAAAGGAGACTTGGGGAAAACAAAGAAAATAAGGATGGGAGCCCTTCAAGAAGGAGAGACTGTCGTTCTCTTCTCCCTACCATATGACTGCTTGGAAGCTAACTCGCTGATCATCCCAAGCCTGACTGCCCAAAGAGGGCAGATATGAAAGAAAATGGCAAGGCAGAGGAAACTTGCAATATCGTGGCAACCCATCATACACCGGTTTTAATGTCATGAAAATGAGTGAATTTCCCATGGTCAACTGGACACAGGAGAAAGGACCTAAAATCAAGAAATCATGCTATCAATTTACCCAAAGAGGCCGCCTGCTAAGCAAGGGGGCCCTAGAATTAAGAAGTTATAAGGTCTACCACGGGGTGTCCATGTCAGATTCCCATGCGGAGGGGACACCTGGAGCCCCCAACAGCAAATAATTCACAAAATTACACGAGAATTAGCATTTCAACAACTGTCTTTACTGCCATTCCAGTTTAGTCCTAAAAATGGCGGCAGGTGGTTCACTCCTGTAATCCCAGCACTTTGGGAGGCCAAGGCAGGTAGGTCACCTAAAGTCGGGAGTTCGAGACCAGCCTGGCCAAGATGTTGAAACCCCGTTTCTACTAAAAGTACAAAAATTAGCCAGGTGTGGTGGTGCATGCCTGTAATACCAGCTACTTGGCGGGCTGAGGTGGAAGAATCACTTGAACCCAGAAGGTGGAGGTTGCAGTGAGCCGAGATCACACTACTGCACTCCGGCTTGGGAGACAGAGCAAGACTATGTCTAAAAAATAAGAAAAAAAAGGTGGCAACCAATGGAGCACTATATTGGCACTACATTAATAGAGATTTACGCATTTTAAAAACTTCCGTCTTTCCTTTCTATTGCAAGAAACTGGAGAATCAATAGCTCCACCCCCAAGGAATGAAAGTTCTGATTATGTTGTCTTTGAGTTCTTCGGATATCTGTTCCCATGTATCAGCAAACACCAAAGTGTAGTTGCTTTTAATAATTGAGAAATATTGTAAAATTGTGACGAATAAATTTTCATATTTATTACAATTTTGTGGGTAAGAATTTGGGCAGGATTTGGCTGAGTTAATATTCCATTTCACATGGCATTGATGAAGTTTACATTGGGATATTCTGCTAGTAAAGTGGACTGGACTACAGGCTCCAAGACAGCATCACTCACATTTCCAGAACACTGGGAGGTATGGCTGGAACGCAGAGCTGAGCTGGAGTTAACTAGAGCACCACAATGTGACCTCTCTAGTATGGCAGCCTCCGGGTAGTCAGACTTCTTACATGATACTTGAGAACAACAACTGTTCCAACGAGCAAGGCAGAAGCTGCCTGATCTTTTTTGTTAGACTTACTTTTAATAATGAAAATAACCTAAAACTAATGGGATCAGCTAAAGATGTCATGAGGTTGTGGGAATGGATATCTGACTATTCATGTTTGTACGGAGTTGTTGAAGACAAACCAAACTTTTTCATGTTTACATCCCCACTGAGTTGGACTGATCAAAACCCTTCAGCAGAAACGCTCACAGCTATTCCCTGCATGGAAAGTTGGAATTAGCTGCTAAAGTGTTATAAATTTACACCAGATGCAAAAAATAAAACAAGAAGGAAGCAAATGGAAGAGATTCAGTTGAGATTTTTCCAAACCTTTCAAGAGACCATAAGTAAAAGGAATGGGGAGATGCACTTTTATTAAAAACAACTATCTCAAGAGCCAAACGTCACCACTCTCACCCCCATACATTACTTGAGAAAGTTGTGATAATAACCTTGATTGTTCTGTCAAACAAATAAAACCTATAAGCACTCTCAGTCTAGAGCATTCTCTTCTGAACCAAGCAGAAACCAACTCAAGAAATAATTCCTAATAATTGTAAACATTTTGAGCCACTCCTTGAAGAATTGCAATGGAAACTCCTATATATTCCACAGTGATAGTAATCAAAAATAAATTTGAATAAAGGGAGAGAAAGGGAAGATGTATGAGTTTTTAAGTACTCTCTTCGATGTCAGAAAATATTTCAGAATGGGTGATTATATATGATAATTATTTTGCCTTGCCTGGCCCTGTGAAATTCCCAATGATATGTAAAAGGAACCCGTGTGGAAGAGAAATTGATACTCGGGTGAATTTTTGAGGGTAAAGCATAGAAAAGGATGAGGTCACACAATGAAATGCACTACTAGATATTCATGCAATCCTGCAAACAGGACTCATTGGCAGCTGTCATAATTTCTCTGGACTTACGCTGTGAGGAAAAGGAACAGGTTTCTGAGTTTCCCCGCGAGACCACTCAGCTGTCAGTCCAAAAATGAAAAACATCTCAGCAGGGACTCGTTTAAGAGTCTTAAATCCAAAGAACTGCAGTATAACATTGATTCTGTCCATGCCATACTTACTAACTTTACTCGCAATTATGGAGAAATTATACTGCGCAGTGCTTTCTCTGTCTAGTAATTCATTAGTGGCGATGGTTCCTTCATTTCCATCTATTGTAAAGTAGCTGTCCCCATCACTCTTCCAATCTATGAAGTACCTGTATATGAAAAGAGTAGATGCAAATGTGCAATGATTACACATTAATCATAATGGCACTTAGGCTAACTTGACACAGTTCCTTATTTTTCTCCCTGTAGCTATTACCCACCTTGCAATAAAGAAGAGTGTAAATGACAGCTTCTTTATTGCAAAGTCAGTATGCTCAAGGGGAAACTGGAAATAATAAAAGATTTAGTACTTCTGCTGTTCATGTTATTTTAGGGTCTTGGCACCTTGAAAGCTCAGCAGAGACTAAAATTCTAAAGCTGACCATGAGTTTCCTTAACCTGCTGAATATTAAAACTTTTCAAAGCAGTAAAAAATTCCTTAACAGTGGCTATGGCTGTGGAAATAGGGTTGAGAGAAGCACCTGGAAACAACTACAAAGAACCCAGGCCAAAACAGAGGTAGAATCTTTGTTTCCAAAGATAGAAAAATAACATCATGGAAACAAAAGGTAAATTTTTTAACTGACAATTTGGTGATTATACAAAAATATTTTCCTCAAGCACATATAAAATGGTCATTGTTGTTTTATTTTGTTGTGTATTTTATTGTTTCATTGTTGTTTTACTATATATCAGTCAACATTAAAAAAAAAAAAAAAACAGTGACCTTGGATAATGATGTCTCTTTATCATGTTTATTATGTGACAGATTTAATAATAATGTATGTCGCCCTATGTGAAGCAACTGGACTAAAAATTCCAAGAAAATGAATAGCAAAATAAAAAATGCATGTATTTAAATCTTTAAGTAACAGTAGATATATGGATTGATATTAAGTGAATTTCTTTTTCCAACATGTGTTTTCAATCATCACAATCATTAACATTTTAAAATATGACCATTTGATAGACATTATTCTCAATGCTTACACATTGAGAATATGAAATGTCTGAAGAATAGTATTATCAATCTGTTTTATGTATAAGAAAACAGAAAGCATAGAGACATGAAGGAATTTGTCCAAATTAAAATAGAAAGTTTTAGATTGATGTTTGAACCAGGTCATTAATGTTTCCCATATGATTATCATTATATAGTCTTACCAATTTTAAATAGAACATTTCATGGGAAAAGATTTTGCTAATCAAAAGGTACAATACACAAAATATTTGTCATCATTTTATTCTAGCCTGGTACCAAAGAGAGGTCATTTCAAACAATGGCTGAAAGCAGATGGCATCATTGTTAGTCAGTCCCTTGGAATCCCCACTCCAAAGAAAGTGTTCATGGTGAAAAGTCAGTAAAGGGATGTGTATCTCAACATAACAAACTATTTATTTTGACAAGCTGATTATTTGAAACTGTAGCAGTTTGTATGTTATTTCAGTTCTAGATCACTTGCATTTACAAGTGAAATATATCTGAAATATATCATTCCATACTAGTCTATACCTGTTAGTACAGGTATACCTTAATTTACAGCTCTTCACTTTATTGTACTTCACCCCTAGTGCCGTTTTTACAAATTGAAAGTTTGTTGCAACCCTGTGTCAAGTAAGTTCATCAGCATCATTTTTCCAACAGTGAGTGCTCACTTCATATTTGTGTCACGTTTTGGTAATTATTGTAACATTTCAAAATTTTTAATTAATATGATAACTGTTAGGGTGATGTATGAACAGTGATACTTGATGTTACTATTGAAATTATTTTGAATGACAACGAATTATTTTCAGGCATAATGAACTGCACCCATATAAAAGGGTAAACTTAATCAATAAACGTTGTGTGTCCTGACTGCTTCACTAACCAGCTGTTCCCTCATCTGTCTCCTGATCCTTGGGCCTTCCCTAGTCCCTGAGACACGACGATATTGAAAATCAGTCAATTAATATTTCTACAGTGGGCTCTAACTGTTCAAATGAAAGAGTCACACATATCTCACTTTTAATTAAAAGCTAGAAATGATTAAGCTCAGTGAAGAAGGCATGCCTAAAGCCAAGATAGTCTAAAAGCCAGGCCTCTCATGCCAAACAGTCGAGCTGTGAATGCAAAGGAGGAGTCCTTGAAGGAAATTGAAAGTGCTACTCCAGTGAAGACAGGAATGGTTTAAAAGCAAATGAGTCTTATTGTGGTTATAGAGAAACTTCAGTGGTCCGGATAGAAGATAAAACCAGGCACAACATTCCTTTAAGCCAAAGCCTGATCCAGAATATGACCCTAACTGTCTTCAATTCTATTGGAGAGAAGTAAGGAAACTGTAGAAGAAAAATGTGACCTAGCAGAGGTTCGTTTAAGAGGTTTAAGGAAATAAGTCTTCTCTATAACATTAATGTGCAAGGTAAAGCAGGGAGTACTTATGTAGAATCTGCAGAAAGTTATCAAAAGATCTAGATAAGGTCATCAATAAAGGTGGCTACACTAAACAACAGATTTTAAAAGTATGTAGAACAGCCTTCTATTGGAAGAAGATGCCATCAAGGACATTTACAGCTAGAAAAGAGAAGTCAACGCCTGGCTTCAAAGCTTCAAAAAACAGTCCGACTCTCTTAGCAGAAGCTGATACAAGTGGTGATTTGAAGTTGAAGCCAGTGTTCATTAACCATTATAAAAATCCTACAGTCCTTAGGAATTTTGCTAAATCTACTCTGCCTGTTGCTTTATAAATGGAACAACAAAGCCTGGATGACAGCACATCTGTTTATAGCATGGCTTATTAATTTTTTTTTTTTTTTTTGAGACAGAGTCTCATTTTGTCACCCAGGCTGGAATGCAATGGTGTGATCTTGGCTCACCGCAACCTCCGCCTCCCAGGTTCAAGCGATTCTCCTGCCTCAGCCTCCTGAGTAGCTGGTATTACAGGTGCATGCCACCACGCCCGGATAATTTTTGTATTTTTAGTAGAGATGGGGTTTCACCATGTTGGTCAGAATGGTCTCAAACTCCTGACCTCATGATTTGCCCACCTCAGCCTCTCAAAGTGCTGAGATTATAGGCGTGAGCCACCACACCCTGCAGGTTTACTAAATATTTTAAGTCTACTGTCGAGACCCACTGCTCACGAAAAAAAAAATTCCTTTCAAAATATTACTGCTCTTTGACAATGCACCTAGTCACCCAAGAGCTCAGATGGAGATGTATAAAGAAATGAATGTTGTTTCCTTGACTGGCAACACAACATCCATTCTGAAGTCCATGGATCAAAAAAGTAATTTTGACTTTCAAGTCTTCTTATTTAAGAAATATATTTTGTAAGGCCATAGCTACCAAAGATAGTGATTTCTATGATGATTCTTGACAAAGTAAATTGAAAACCTTATGGAAAGGATTTATCATTTTAGACGCTATTAAGAACACTGGTGATTCATGAGAGGAGGTCAAAAGATAAAACCAGGAATTTGGAAGAAGTTATTCCAACCCTCATGGGTTGGAATATATTGAGGGACTCAAGATTTCAATGGAGGAAGTAATTGCAGAGGGGTGGAAATAACAAGAAAACTGAAAGTAGAAGTAAAGCCCTAAGATGGACTGAATTGCTGCAATTTCATGATAAAACTTGAACAAATGGGGACTTACTTCTTATAGATGAGAAAAGTAGGTTATTTCTTGAGATAACATCTACTTTTGGTGAAGATACTACAAATACTATCGAAATCATAACAAAAAATTAGAATATTATATAAACAATAAAGCGGTGGCAGGTTTTAAGAGGATTGACTCCAATTTTGAAAGAAGTTCCGTTGTAGGTAAATGCTACTTAACAGCATCACATGCTGCAGAGAAATACTTTGTGGAAGGAAGAATCGACAGAGCAAACCTCATTGTTTTCTTAAGAAATTGCCAGAGCTGCCCCAACCTTCAACAACCACCACCCCAATCAGTCAGTAGCCATTGAGTTCAAGGCAAGACCCTCTACCAGCGAAAAAGATTACAACTTGCTGAAGGCTCAGATGATCTTCAGTGTTTTTTTTTTTGTTGTTGTTTTTTGTTGTTTTTTGTTTTTTAGCAATAAAGTATTTTTAATTAGGGCATGTACTTTTTTGGGCATAATGCCATTTCACACTTACTAGAATATAGTGTAAACATAATGTTTACGTGTACTGGCAAACCAAAAAAATGTTTAACTTGCTTTATTGCAATATTTGATTTATTGTGGTAGTCTGGAACCAAACCTGCAATATATCCAAGGTATGTCTGTCATTGATTTCTGAACCGGAAAATGCATGGTATTTATTAGAATAGGGTATGACCCATGCTGTTAATCTAATTTTGACATTTCTTCTGTTTATTGGAGGAGTGAGAAAGCATTGATGTCTTCCCATTTCAGTGTGGTACCTTAGCTCACATGAATGCTCTCAAAAATTAAAAATGAAGTTAAGGCACCCCTAAAGGTCAGGAAACACAGAGATATAATGAGCTTAATTCTCCGTATTGCATATTCTTTCCTGAACAAGAAAGTATTTCTCAAAATACTGCTTTACAGCACCTCATTTAACTTGCCATATGCCTAATTTAAGAAGAAAATTGCCACTGAAACTCCTTATTAACTGTAGTATTTCTGAAAGAATTGCTGATGTAGGCTTACTGTGTTCAATTTTTCAATTTATTAAGTATCTGCTGGGTGTCCACTATACACTATACATTATTCTAGAGATGAGACTATAAAAATAACTAAAGTATGATGCCCATCACTGAAGACTTTAGTTGGGAAGACACGGATAAACAGACTATTTCAATGCCTAAAAGAGAGATAGTAAAGAAGGCTCTGCAGGAGTGCCAAGAGAACACATCAAACGTAAAACCTAGTGCTTCAGGCAATCCTTCTTGCACGTGATATTTGGCTGACATTAGAAGGCTATATGGAAATCATCCAAGAGGAGGTTGAAGCAGAAAAAGTGAGGGGAGGAATAGACGGTGTTTTAGAAAGCTGCAACAGCAGTAGCAAAACCACACAGGTACTGTAGGAAACTGTAAGTTGTTTAGAATTACCATAGAAAACTATCTGAGAAGCACAATGACATGAAAAAAAATGAGTGATTTAGGTCAAGG